GACACTTATTGCAGGAAACCTCCCAAGAGCCAGGCACAGCAGAGCCCTGGGGTCAAGGCAGAGAGAGGGACCAGACAGTGAGTGCCTTCTGCCTTCCCATGGGGGCTGATCCTGTGCTAAAGAAACCCTCTCTGCAGGGAGGAGCTGCCAGCAGAGGATTCTGCCCCTTTCTACCCACATCCAAACTGTACAGCTCTCACACAGGCAGGGAAGGCCAGATTTTGTGTCTGGAGAAGAGGAGACATCACAGGATATTGCCCCCTGCAAGAGGGGATGTAAAGGATTGCTCAGGCTTCTGTATCTCTCTGCCCACCTGTCTCCACAGGACATTTCACATGTGTCTGTCACGAATGGGGTCACCTTTCACTTGGAGCTCCCTGAGGACCCTGGAAGAGCAGGCAGATGCTGCCTGGGGACAATGTGGCTAGGCAGTGGGGTTGGATCAGTCCTGTCCTGGCACCCAAGGCATCCTTCAGCTGGGCCAGGTCACTTGCTAATCTGGGGCTCAACCTGCTTACCTGGAGCTTAGGCAGGAGAGCACTTCTCCTGTGCCCTGGGGAGGGATTTCCTTCTGAGTGAGCATGCAGGACAGTGCAAGGACATACTGGTGTTACCATACAGACCCTGTCCTCAGTTTTGGAGGCACAGGTAGGGCACAAGCTTTTTACAAAGCAAAATTTCTAGCAAGCTCTGGGAAGGTACAGTCTCCTCCCCTGGGCACAAGAAGAGGAACCTCTAGCCTGCTAACCTCTAAGCCCCATTTCAGCCACCAGGTTAGAAAATCAACCCAGGTTTGTTGAGGCAGGCTGGGTCACCACTCATCCAGGTGCCATCTCTCTTAACAAGCCCTCAGCACCTGGAGGCTGTCAGGAGATGTGACCACCCCATTTTCCCCAGAAAGTGTCCAAAAGCCCAAGCTCCTTTCCAGGCAGCAGGACCAAAGCCTGCTGATCCCAAGATGGATCTGTGTGAGAACTGCTAGCACGCTTCCAAATGGGGACGACAAGAGGGACCATGCCAGGGCAGGTGAGTGTGGATGCTCTCCTGAGACTGAGAGCCCTATCAGCATGTGTCCTTCTGTAACGAACTCAATGTACTGACCGGGCTGCTGCCACGCATCGCCAGTGGCCAACTTGGCAGAGGCGAGCTGCAAAAGCCACTTATTTTCTCTCTTTCTCTCTTTTTTTTTTTTTCAATTGGCCTGATAACAGAGAACAGTCAGGAGTAATTTGTCTCTGAAAAACGAAGCCCATGTTCTGTTAGTGTTTGTGCGCATCGACAATGCAGTCTTCCTAGAAATGTGACCCTAAATGGGCAAAAGCCCAGATTGGTGTGGCAGAGCTTGGCTGGGGACACTTGGAGAAGACCCAGTGAAACTGAGTGAGGCTGAAGGTGACTTGTAAAGAAGGTGACTCATTTTGCTAATTCTCTCATTCTGTTCTAATTAGTTGCTGTAGCCAAACTGGTAGGTGTAGGCTGCATTTCAGGAGGTGTAGCAGGGATCAAAAGATCCTAATGTGCCTTCTTTGAGCAGCTCAGGGTTATCTGGTAGACTGCAGAATCAGGAGGATTTGTCAAGATGAAGGGAAATTGTCTCTTGATGGATGAGAGTTCTCGTTGCTCTGGCCACGTCACTGTTAAAGAAGCCAAAGCCTAAGAACTCATCCTTTTAAGAGCTTTCCTCTTGCACCTATTTGGGAGTGTGCATGAAGGGTGCAGGCCAGAATCTCCCTGGCAGGCAATTCCCAAACAGCTGTGTGACGTTTCACGGATGATATCTGGTGAGTGCAGGAAGAAGCCCCACGTCACAGTGGGGGGAGGTGCATCACATTGACACAGGGGTAAGAGACTGCTTTTGCACAAGGTGCTGCAGGAAAAACATCAGATTCTTGACTCAAAACTAGTTCTGGCCCAGAACACAAACTGCAGGGCAAGATCAGGTATTTCCTTGCATCAGTAGTTGTGCAGGGGAAGGGAGCTCTGCAGGGGTCTGCAAAATCCATGTCAGACTAACTGGCCATGGATCCCACATCAAATCCCCCCTTGACAGTACAGACCCAGCCAAGAAAAGAGCTCCTCTCTGTCATGGCTCCTGTTGGAGTCAGCTCGGTCACAACAGCATGGCAACAGCTTTACTCCTCTCCACAAAGAAATTGTAATCTGCAGAAAGACCTTTGCGAGCCCCACGCCTCATATCCTCCTGCTGTGGGGAAGAGTCCTGCTGTACCAACCCGGCCAGAGGTGGGAGATGGAGCCACCTTTTAGTATCTCTGAGAAGGGCTTCTGCTGGGGCTGTCTTCCAGATGTGGAAGGCCTGACGGCAAGAAGGAGTTGTTTCAATGGCCAAATTCTAATGAACCCACTTGGAGCTTTCTATAAAATGAAGATTTATTTTCTAAACCCCCTGTTGCCTTTTTTTTTCCCACAAAATCAGGACAAAATCTATCAGTTTCCACAGATATAAGTGGACTGTCAGAGGTACAAGCTGACAGACAGCCAGGACCCAGGTCATTGCCAATCTGAGCACAGCTGCTCTGCTTTTACAGCGAACAGAAGGATTTAAGTATTTTTTCAGCCAGGATGGGACCAGAGCCATGGTGCTACTAGCGATGTCTTTGTTGTCTGTGACTCCTGCGCAACCTCTTCATCAGAGGAGCTCATTGCACCTCACAGACTTTCTTCCATGATCTTTCTCCTTCCAAGAGGATGAGAGTGGTAGTTTGGAGGGGGAGAAGGAACTGAGTCAGAACAGTGCTGACTTGTTCAGAACTGCAGAAGAAATGATAGTGCTGCTGGAAATAAAACATGTAAGTTTGCTTCTAGCCCCTGACACTGAGCATGAGGCCCCAGTACTGAACTAATTCTGCATGTGACCAGGGAACAGAACAGTCAGGGAGCAAGAGCTGAGGAGCTGTGCATGTGGGCCAGTGTGACAACCATGCCTCAATGAAAGAACCCGTCGGCCCAGGGCTGATGCTGCATCTTTTTATTTTATTTTTATTTTGCTTCATAAAGCAAATGCAGAGCAAGTGATAGGATGAGGAGAAAAGGTGGCTTGAAAGAAAACCAAATCAAAACACAAAAAATAAAAAGAAAACCAAACAAAAACAAAGAGGAGGGAAGAGGCAGCTGCTGGAGTATAAGTGGAAAGTGAGCTGCTACGAGAAAGGAGTGAATAGATGCCAAGCCCGCACTAATTCTTAATAAAATACAATACTGAAAATAGGATCTGAGAGTCTCCAAAATACAATATCTTAAGGGATTGGCAATAATACAAAATAAGGTTCATTATGTACAAACGAGTTCTGCTCTTGGTCTCTGTACAACGGTGGGAGTGTGAGGCATGGGGACATGCTCAGTGGAACTGCTGGGGTGGAAGAGGGTGTGCTTGGACCCGGCAGTGGTTCTTTGTGCTGGGGTGGAGGTGGAGGATGGGGAATGCAGTGGTATCTGGTGACCAGCAGGTCCTGTGGGAACCTTGAGAAGAGCAGAGCTATGCTCTTCCTCACTCCACTGGCCATGCATATATGGTTGCAGTTAGTTGTGTCCAAATTTGTCCTAAATGACTTCAGGGGGCAAAAACAGTTTTCAGAAGGGAGAAAAGAAGGATGTGATGGCCCTTCCCTCAGTCCTTGAGCAAAAGCCATCCCATCTTTCCTCTCCAGGGAGCCTTCTCCACTCCCAGCCTGAGGGAAGAGAAGAAACTGGGGCAGTGCAGAGTGAGTTCAGGGTGCTTGATGAGAAACAAGCTAAAGAGGAGCCTGCTGTGAGACCTGGGAGAGTGCACAGGGACTCCTGTGTTAAAACACGAGACAGTCTACCGCATCCCAGATCTCTGACACTCATGTCCCACATTGTCCTTCCATCAAATGGCAGTTGAGGGAATGGAGAGAGGAGACACTTGAGGCTTTCTGCAGGGCTTTTGCTGTGGAGGAAGAAGGGTCAGAAATGGGCACCTGGGTGCTAAAGAGGATGGCATAGGCTTGAGATGAGGTCACTTCAATACCAAACTTGGCAAGTCTGGCCTGAGGGGTAGTATGGTTAAGAGTTTGCTACCTTTGGTGCCAGCACTTAGAAGAAAGCAGTCTAAAACTGTCTTTGGTGACCCTGGCCAATTCCAACATGCCACCTCCTCCCTGACAGATGTACCTGTCACCAGAAATGCCACTATATCCTCAGTGGCTTTCACAACACTGCTCTGAACACAGAGGATGTGAGGGGAACGATGGCTACCTGACAGCCCTCCAATGGGTTGCAGAGCTCTCCTTGGTGGTTCCTAGAAAGCCCCATTTGGCATGAAGCAGAATTGGAGATGGAGAGCTGGGGTGGAGGCTGGGTTATAAGAATGTGTTTATCTCACTCACTCTCAAAGTGGGGGAGGCTGCAGAACAGAAAGTGAGAAGGCCTCTGACATGGTTAGCACTGCACTGTAGGGCCCAAGCTGGGAACAGAAACAGGAATACTACCCCTGCCAAAGCAAGAGTATCGAGGGTGGGGAGAAGTGGATTGTGGGGCAAAATTGTTCTCTATTCAGAGCTCTAGTTGCCCAGAAGCTGCTGGCTAATTTTTATGGTGATTTATCTGTCTGGCATCTGTTTCCCCCACTCCGCTTGTGTGCAGATCTTTGCAGATAGTTGCTGTTGAAGTTACATAGGCATGTCCATCAAGAGAAAACTAGAGCAAGGAAGAACTAGGTTTTCTCTCAACGGAAGCAGAAATATACTAACAGATGGAGGGCAAGGAATGAGCTCAAACTCTCCAGAGCCATTTCTACAGCACCAGTATCACCCAATCCTAAGTCCTCCAGGCAGGACAGTAAGTCCAGCTCTCTCTCTCTCTCTCTCTCTCTCTCTCTCTCTCTCTCTCTCTCTCCCCTTCAGGTGCATCTGATGTAGACAAGGGGTCCATACCTGGGAACAGCCCCCTTGGTCTGGAGGCTTTGAGGAGCGAGCTGAATAGTTTGGGGGCTTTCCCTGATCTCCCTCCACTCCAAAGTGAGCCCACATCCATAGGGTAGTGCTCATTTAAGCAGGAGGTAAGGCCAGGAGAAGAGGGTGTCCCAGGGCTTCTCCAGACATTCACTGCTGGTTCTGGCAGTCCTGTGACTCCCCTCAGAGAGATCAGTACTAATGGGGAGGATGAGAAAGGGGGGGAGCTGAACCCAAGGCCAGTTTAGGAGTGTCTGAATGCAGTGTCCTCTCTTGCCAAGTCCCCTCAGTTGCTTGGTGAGGAGGGAATCCTGCAATCAGACAGATGAGGCCTTGAGGTCCAGCAGCTGCTACAAGAATTCAGTTGTCTCACTGGAGCTTCTCTCCCTGAGGAAAAGAAAAGACAAGGCATCAGTCAAGGTTCATTGCAGCCTCCTTTGAAAATTCACTTCTCTGTGTGCTCTGACCAGGATGAGCTCTTTCCCCAGGGCACTGAATAGACAGCAAGCCTGGGACCACCTAAGTCAGCCAGTCTTCTGCAGCTCAATGCCAGTGGGACACTACTTTAGGAAGTTCCAAACTTTTGCTCTAGAAAATAAACTTGTTCTTATGTGTCCTGCCAGCACTGGCCTCCTCCAGCCACTGCTCTTAGCTAGTTGCCTGTCCCAGGCAGCTCAGTTCTCCTTAGCTTGCAGGAGAGAGGGTGGACATGCCTCCTGCTTACTCCCAGACACCATGCTGTGTTTTGAGGCTTGGAAGGTGGCCCCACCTGCTTACCTCTCATGGAATTGCTCTTTGAGGTGGGCAAGAGTTGGGTCAGTTCGGTTCCGGTCAGGACCCTCCAGCTGGGATTTGCTCAGATATTTGGCCGTTGCATGTGTCCTGGCTAAATGAGGCCTTCCTTCTTCAGACTGCCTTTTTGTGGCCTCCCACCCCTCAGGATGGTCCACGGTTAGGAAGGAGCTATAGCTCTCTTCTAAGGAGCCAGCACCCTCATCATAGAAAAGGAGGCTCCGTGATTGAACTGGAAAAATGGAGAGCATTGGTTAACAACGAGGACAAGGTCTCTTGCAATGGTTTTGAGTCATGAAGGTAGTTTCAGCACATGCCCACCCTGCCTTGTGCATGTGCACCTGTGCAGAATACCCTCCTCCCCCCAGGCAAATGCCCCCCTGGACACATAGCCTCCTCAGAAGACAACCACTCTGTCCTGGGTCTCTTCCCTCATGTTCCTTCCTTTGACACTTACCATGTTTTGGAACAACAGTTAGCAGACAACAGCAACAGGCCCAAACAAGGTGCTGTTATCAGAGTTTGTAACACTGACAATCACCACTTGGAATCTTCCCCTACCACAGCCCCAGCATATGGGGTAGGCACAGAGGGGAGGATACTACCCCTGAGTGCAGAGTGTCAAGAGAAGAGCTGGAAATAGTTTGACAAGTTGAAATGGAGGAAGCAGGTTTAGACTCACTCTTACTAGTTGTGTAAATGTCTGGTGCTGGTGTTGCTTTCACTGTCTGTGATGCTGAAGAGAACTCAGGGAGACAGGGCATCAGGGATCCCAGGATCAGAACGAAGCAGAGTGCCAGCACCTAGAGAGGATATCAGCACAGAGTGAGTGCCACTAGCCATGGAGAAACACTCCCCCCACATCACACAAACAGAATGCTGTGTAAGAACATCTGGTCAGGCTGACAACTGGGTCCCTATGGAACCCAGGGAGGGAAGGGGCTTGCAGTGCAAATCTAAGAAGGGAAGTAAGAAACTTCCTCTTGATACTTTATTTGGAGTATTTCTGGTTCAATAGTGAGAAATTGCCCATCCAGCTGAGGGAAGATAGTGGAAGGCATAGCTGAGAAACAAGCTGAGAAAGAGGGAGATTCAACAGAAGGGACAAACTCAGCCTTGACCAAAGGGAACCTAACCATTGGCTCAGCAGGAGCTGTCATGGGCTGTAAAGAAAACAAGCTCACTGAGAGAAATCTGTGAGGTACCACAGCACATAGCAAAGTGAAGTGAAACTATTCATGGAGGACAGAAATGACTGCAGAACTGTGGTTGCCTAGTATCTGATAGTAAAGATGCAGACTCCAAGGAAAGGGTTAAATTTATGCTTGACATGTAGGTATGCAGGACCATGTGTCAGTGTCTTCTGCTGTAAGGCAAACCAGTCAGGGGTACTAGGCAGTGATAACAGGAGAGAGGTACGTGAAATCTCCTTGGAAATCCCTCTCATGTGGGTCTGGACCTGTCTGAAATTCTGCCGTAAGAGTAAAGCTTCCAAGTGAGATGTCAGTGCTGATCATAAGGGACTCTATAGAGTTTAGGGGAACTGCCAGTATGGAGCAAGAAGTGCCACATGGGAAATGGTACAAAGTCAAATCCTTTTTACCTGAACACCCATGTGCTATGGGTGGTATATAACTAGCTGCTGCCAGCTCAGCAGTCAGACTGAGCAGCCAAAGGGGAAATGCATCTGGTGATTTCTACTACCTACGTATAAACTAGCTAAGTTTGACCTGTGGGGACACCTGTGGGGATGCCTGTGGGGACAGCCAGCAATTGCTTGACTGCTTTTCAGAAGAGTCATCTATTTCAGAGTAGCCTGAGTAGCACACAGAAGCTGGTACATCAAGGTAGTTTTGACCAGTAGTGGATTCTGGGAGATGTGGAAGATCAAATAATAACATGGGGATACTACAATATATAAAGAGAGATTTTAATTGTCCAGACTTCATGGCTTGTTTAAAAGTAAGGACATTAAATGTGGATAGCATAGATGCTGTCTAAGCATATCATATCTGGCGCATGAGGCATTTAGAATCCTTATTACACAAAAACAGAAAAAAAATTCTGAATAGATGTTGCTTGGAATAATGACAGCCAAACACACAACTTACAGAAAAGAGACCCAGCCCTGTGAAGTCTGTTCTTCCCTTTTAAAATTAAACAGGCTCTTTGGGCTGGGAAAGAGCAGTATACTTAACATCTTGCTTTAACATGACTCTCAACTGGGGCTTTGCAAAACAGCATTGTTTTTACTCTGTTTTGTTTCAGGTTAACTCTGATGCTTTGATTTAGTTCTAGTTCAAACTCTGTAATACTTTATAACAATAATTCTTAGTTTGACTCTGAGTACCATTCCTCTCACAGCATTTGACCATCTCACTATTTGACCTCTTAAAAGTGAGGGAAATTAAGCTAGAGGAAACTACTGCAAAACCAGTTGGAAAGGTGAAGGCAAAATTAATAAAAAAAAAAAAAGACATACTGAGAGTGTATTTATCAAATGGTTTACTGTCAAACTGTGAGGAAGTAGCAGATGGAGTAGCAGAGAGATCTGTTACGGCTCTGGCAAGATTCAGCATTTCTAAGCTTGACTTGAATGATGGACTGTATCAAATCTGCAGATGGGAAAGACTACAAGCAGACTGACTTTTGGTCAGGATTCAAATTCAGAACAATCTTGACCATGGGAGGAAGTGGTCCAAGAGAACAGTGGGAAGGTCTGTACAGATAAATGTGGAGACCTGCTGAGAACCCCAAGGTGGCAGGACTGATTAACAGGGAACACGTCAGTGACTACGTGTTTCAGCTGTTCTACAGAAGAGGATCTGGGAGTTAAGATGAAACACAAGACAGGCCCAAGTCAGTGTCACTTTGCAGAGGGCAAATCTCAGCCCAAGCAGTACAAACAGGCTTTCTGTCTGCGTCTGTACTGGCCATCAGGTGGGACACTGTATCCAGATTTGGGCCCTATATTTCCAAAAAGATGCAGGGCCATTGGAGAGAGTCTGGAAGAGAGCTGTGGGAACAAGCAGTGATATGGTAACTCAACATATAAGGGAAGACTGAAGACATTGTGGTGATTTAGCAGAACAGACTGAAGGGAGTTGCTCAAACCAAGAGTTTTCAAATAGGTAAAATGCAGCTGCACAAAGGGAGAATCAACAGATCTTGTTTAGAGTGGGCAGAAGTAGTTGTAATAGGCTTAAGCTGTTGCAAGGAAGATTGAGATGAGATAGCAAGAAGCTTTATCTGGGAAAGATAACACAGCACTGGAATGGTTTGCCTGAGGAGGCTGAGGGCTCCTCACTACTGGAGGCCTTCAAGAACTGTCTGTACAAATATAACACAGACTTAGAGGGGTAGTCTGCTCTACTCCCATGCTGCAAGGCATGATGATTCTACGTATCTGTTGTGATAAGGAGTGCTATATTTAAAAATGGAAAATGGGAACTTGGAGGCTTATGAGAGGAACTGGCCAAAGATAGAAAAGCAAATTACAAATTCTTGAAATGCTTCAAAGCTAGGAAGCCTGAGAGAGTTGGTGTGTGGGCTGGGATGTCTAGTCTGCTCTACTCCCATGCTGCAAGGCATGATGATTCTACGTATCTGTTGTGATAAGGAGTGCTATATTTAAAAATGGAAAATGGGAACTTGGAGGCTTATGAGAGGAACTGGCCAAAGATAGAAAAGCAAATTACAAATTCTTGAAATGCTTCAAAGCTAGGAAGCCTGAGAGAGTTGGTGTGTGGGCTGGGATGTCTGGAACGAAGTGGGCGTCAGAGAGAGATAAGATATTGTTGGGAAGCTAAATTAGGTATTCTATCAGCCTGTAGCACAGAGGGTGTCTGGAAGGCACCTCTTCTGGAATTGCTTATTCCAGATAGTAGCATAGAAGAGCTGGAGCCACGGGTGCCCTCATGAGCTGTTGCATGAAGGATCAATGAGTCATTGAGCTCAGCTGCGTCACACCCAAAAATGTGGAAAGGACTTGGGAATGAAGACACAGGGCAAAGTAGTCAGTCATTGAAATCTGGTCTGACATGGGAGCAGCAAAGAGTAGCAAAAGCCTCAGCAGATTTTGAAAGGAGGCAGTGCTGGAAATTACAGAGCAGGGGCTCTGGAGCCAAGGAAACTGATTGAACTAAGAGCAAAAAACCAATCCCTTGGGACACTGAGGATCCTGAGAAAGTGGGGCAAACACCTCACCATCTGTTTGCATTTTGTGACTGTTAAGAGTACACAAGTGATAACCAGATGTAGAAACCAACTATGACAAATTTGTTATAAGCAGCTACTACAACAATCCTGCAAAGACATCACAGGGGTGAAGGTTATATTTTTACCATGGATCGTAAACTTTCCCCCTGGCAAAAAATGAAATGAAGAATAAGCAATTGACTTTATTTATGGCTGCATACCAGCATGCCCTGAAACTCCTAGGTGAAGCCAATTTTTTTAACCATGATCCTCCACTATGAGAAATGAGAGGCAAACAGGGATTACCAAAATAACAGACAAAGGCAAATCATTTTGGTTAGTCAAAATGGCAAACAAAGAGAATTCCAGCTGAATTTAACAAAGCCTGATGTGCAGGCATAGCAGGAAGGGATGCTATTTCTTGCTGATAAACACAAGGTAATGCTCACTGGGAGGAATACTTGAACTGTTGGCCTGCCCTGCTAAGTTAAACATTAAGCATTGCCAACTCAGCAAAAGAAAACTCTACCCATTATGATGGAAGCTCATTGAAGATTTTTGCTGAATGGCTGATAGCTAATGAAAAGCAAACAAAGTGCCATTTTGCCCAAAGAACAAGACAGTAAAAATGCAGGAACTATTCTGATGTTGTTGCATAAAAAACTGACATAAACATATTGAATAAACAAACTGTGTATGTATGACACAGGACCCAGTTCTGGTGATTGTAACACAAAAGGAGAGAGCAGACGTAACTGGCAACAGAGCAGGGCAACAGCAAAGAGGGCAGAGACAAGCAATCAATGCTGTCTGGAGAAGCGTGGCCAATAAGGAAGGTGAAAATCAAGCTTATACCATTAGGCACGTTCCGGTCTGTGTGGAAGCCATTTTATAAGGTCTGGAGACTTTGCCAGCTACCAGAGCCTGCAGTTTCTGTAACTGCTGGAGCAGAGTCCTGTGATAGGAAACAACACATATCAAAACTTGATAAGGAAGTAGCAGCCAGTATGTGAGGCAAGAATACCACTACCCCTTCCATATTTTACCTTGATTTTCCCTTCTTGTGAAAACAAGTATTTTCCCTTTGCTGTATCTTGTCCAAGTTCTCTGACCTGTTTGGTCAGAGAACCTGCTTGGGAAGCAGGAAACAAAAAAGGGTTTCACCAGCAGATCCACCACCACCTTCACTCCACCTACTCACTACAAATGAATGTCCCATACATTTAGGACTCCTGAGTGCCTCAATGACCAGGCAGTCAACTCCCACAATAGTACAGACTACCATGAAAACCAAGCTCTAGGATGGAGGCTGAACTTTGTAGACAGGTCAGACCTCTAGCACTTCACTCAGAGACACACACACTGAAGCTCAACCTGTGCCCCAAACCATGTGGTGGTGAGAAATAAAAAAGCTGTGATCCCCTCCAGCTTCTTCAGTCTTGGCAAAGTCTGCAGAGAGACATGGGCAAAGCCAAATCTTGAGCTCAGCAATTAATTCATTCCCTGCCTGTCCTGGTTGGAACACATGCTAAGGGCACTGCCCCATTTAACTGTTCATGGGCCTCCGCACACATAAACACAAAACAGTGGTAGGTGTCACCAAGAGCTACTCAATCCTTCGATGGGCCAGTGAAGAAATCTGGGATGAGGGAGACAACAGAGCACACAGTTCTCAAGAGGTGAAAATTACTGAAATGCAGACTTCTGACAAGTTTCCCCCTGGGAACACTGACTGTTTTAAACAAGTATGTTTGAGCTTTCATAAAATGCCAGGTCCTGAAGCCAGGAGATTGCAAGAGAATCGTGTCTTTATCTCTTTCCAAATTCTCTTCTGCTCCTTGTACATGTGGAGAAAGCACAGTGTCCCACTGGCAGTGCTCAAAACCCAAACCCAGTTAGCAAGAACACAGTGTGTATTTTGGAAAAAAAAGAAAATCTCCTGGCTTTTAGACCAATCTCCTGATTGTTCAGGGTAGGGCTCACACTTTTTCATGGCAGGGCTGCCCACACTCCCAGAGAGGCTGAGGGGCAAGCTGTGCCCCATGAATGAGAGCAGCTGAGCAGCTGTATCTCTGGCAGATGGGAGACATCTGGCTCTCGTACAACTCAGCCAAACCATGCCTGACAGCCCCTGGTCCTGGCACCAGTGGCTGGCCTGGAAGCCAAGGCCACAGTACTCATGCCATGGATGGGAGGAAGAAGTGTAATCGAGCCTCTAGGAGTACTTCATGAGCTGTAGTGGCAGCAGAGGAGTGAGTGAGGAACTGGGTCTCTGGCTGTGATTCTCCCTTTCGTTTTGAGCTGATGTAAATGGGGCTGCAGAAACAAGCACTCAGGTTTCTCAAGAGAAACCTGAAACAGCCACAATATGCCCAGTGCCTTGTATTCTTCCAAAGAGCCAAAAAGCATAAACAGTGGGTCAGAGAGGCTGGTGTAGGAAGCCTCCCTCAATACATCTGCCTTGGAGACAGCCAGAGGCCTGGAGGGCAATGGGGATGGCAGCATGAGCCCAAAGGGCTGAAAGGAGGAAGATGTGGGATATGGGAAACATGCCTTCCCTCCCTCCCCTCACTGCAGAGTGGTCTGGCTGTCCCAATACAAACATTCCAGGCTTGCTAACCAAACCCAGCTGCCTCATTGCTGTCACAGGCTGACAATCAGTGCCTTGCCAAGCAGTACCCATCCCCTGGGAGCTGGGGGAACCTGCCTTTCCCTTCTCACCCCCAACCTCAGCACTCCCCTGAATTCCCTTCCTGACCACCCTCCTCTACCCACAGAGGGTCAGGTCTAGCCTCTCTTACCTGTTTGCATTTTCTAAGGTCTCCACTTTTTTCCAGAGTTCATTGTTTTCTGTTGTGTATGTCTCGACCCTGTGGGAATAAAACCCATAGCCAGTCAATTACAAAGGTCAGACAGATAAAGAGAATGTAGTCCTTGCCTCTCTCAAGGTGTGGGGACTCAGTGGCCTCATCCATCACCTGCAGATATGGTCCTGGAGTCAAATGTTACTGGCCCACCTGGTTGCAGCCAGTACCAATGGATCAGGGATGAAATTGCAGGTGGACAGTTACGTGCAACAATTCCCAGTTCAGGGGTTCCCGAAGGTTGGCAGAGACAGTAGCACCTGGTTACAGGCAAGTCAAGTCAGGACAGACTCGAAGTTATGCAGACATCTCCATCAGTTCCAAAGCCCCCCTAAGGAGCATGAAAAGGGAGGGGGATAAATTCAAACCTCTTCTACTCAGACTGGGAACCTGCCCGGGCTGTGAAATCCATGCAAACGCCGGGCCAGCTCCTAATGCAAGCACTTGAGGGCAGCAGAGAACCTGCAGGCTCCCTCCCATGGCTTCGGAAGGGAAAGTGGAACGGCTGCAGCTGGGACAAGGGAACGGGAATGCTTCCAGGCCCGGCGGAAGGCAGGCCAGAGACACAGCCTGATCCTGCTGGAAGTTTCCAGCACAGCCTCTGAACCACGCGTTCCGTGCAAAAACTGGGCTTGCAGCAAAGGTGTTGAACTGAATGGTGAAGGGCCCAAGTATAAGTTTTGACAAATCTCTTACAGAAAACCAAGCTGACCAAAGACATGTTCCATTAAAACAATTCACTGAATGCTGCTTTTGGTTCACATTTAAACCTGGCATTGTTTGAAAGCCATCTGTCACAGCAATGCACTAGCGTAACAAACTGATGAGTACATACAGGCACCACGGCCACATCTGGGGAAGAGGCCCCAGCACCAAACCCTGGACCTGCCCCTGGAGCAAGGCTAGCCAACTCCTCAGCCCTGGCTTGAAGGTGTCAGTGTGGGACGCTATCTGGAGATACTGTGCTCTGATGCCTGGGCACACACATGCACACCAAGGTGCTGCATAAGAACCTGAAGGTGCCTTGAGCCGTCTGTTTTATCAGCATTTCTGTGCACTTAGAGAAGATAAACAAATTGCATGAGGGAGAAGAGTTAATTAAAGTTTGGTTTGGGGGTTGTTTTTTTTCCATTCGCTGATTTCAGATGGTGTTGTAACTGGGAAGAAAATGGTGTTTATACAGAAACATTAATTTGCACCTGGATCCCAGCATTCTTCTTTGCCTGGGAATGCCCATCAGGGGTTGCCAGTACAGGAGTTATTTTCTACCCCGTCAATGTCATGTGATGTCACCTTAGGCTTATAACTGTTGTACTTGCAGGACTTCAGGGTTGCATGGAGAAAAACAAAGCTAATGTAGAGAGTGGAAGGGGAAGGAATGTGGGGAAAAACTGTAGTCCTTTTTCAAAGGTAACACTGAGAATAAGAAACTTACTTTTTCTCTAAACACTCCACATACTCTTTCTTCTTCCTGCGACTCTCCTGAGCAGAGATCTGTGAGGGGGGAAAGCCATCAGAGAGGAGTCAGTATCATAAACCGCTGTACATTCCTTTATGGCTCATGCAACTTGTCTGTTCCCTGCATACACAGCACCCTAAAGGCAAATGGGGAAGTTGCCTTCCAGTCTGCCATTTCTATTAGTCTCCAGGCCAAAACTAGGAGGGATGGAGGCTGTAGGTATGCAGCCTTCCTTGACCTATAGACCACAACCATTCATTGTATTATGCCCCTCACTGCTGAGAAGATCTTTAGGGTTACTTTTAACTTCTCTGGCTGATGTGGCTACGTTCTGTGGCTATCTGGGCTGATTCTGTCCCAGACCACTTCTGAGTCACTGGGTGACTAAATCAGGGTCTCACTACTTCTCCCATGGGATGCTTTCTAATCCCAGTCTAAAGTCTCACAGCCTCTGCCTGGCTAATAAGCTCTGTGTATCATCTGTCCTGCACCACACAATGGCCCTGGTTTCTCTGCCCTCCCAGCAAGCCCCAACCAGACCAGTTTGTCTGATCTGTGATTCCTTAGCTTGTGGGCTCTATCCCATGCCACACATTCTTAGGAGCTGGGCTGGAAGTCACACTTCCCAGATATGGCTGCATGCAGAGTATGCACACTGAGATGCCCCATGGCACCATTTCTGTGAGCTGGGAGGCTTGTGCTAGTGTGCCAAAGGCAGGATCCTTCCTTTTCTGAACTGCACTGCAGCTGAGGAGGGAAGGGTAGCTATAGCACTGGTGAGCTGAGGATGCTCTGGAATCATGGGAACTGTATGATGACATTTTTTGCAGTTACCTTGTTCTTGATTTTCCTCCTGACCCTCTTCAGTGCTTTCTCCTCTGCTTTGGTAAGGGGTAGCTTGGTAGGAATGGGGTAACCCTCAGCAATCAAGGTGCGCTTCTCCTCTTCAGTCAAGAGCAGTGGGCCAGAGGTTCCTTGTAACTTCTGAAACATAGAACATCCATCAGTGTCAGCAAGGAGTTCTATCCCAATGATCCTCTTTAAAGCCTTGCAGAGCAGCCAGAGGCTGTACACATCAGAATAAAATACACTGCTGCCCACTGACACCAAATAGGTGCAGGGCAGTGCTCTTTCTTTTTATTATGCAAGACTCACTGTGCCTCTCCACACTCCTGTGAGCATCATCCTGTCCCCACATCCCTCTGCTAAGACAATACATTGGCTTGCCAAAGTATTTTAGCTTGGAGCCCTTAACAAAGGCAGGATCCCCTGCATGAGCATCAGAAATCTTCCAAAGCCTTCTGAGCACCAAGGAGCCCTGTGTCCCAGTGCTGCCCTGCTGCCTCCTTACGTGTGGTGCTGTAAGGAGAGGTGAGGAGGAGATGGCAGTAGAAGAGCGAGCAGCAGGCCGAGCTGGACTGGAGGGAGGCAGGGACTGGGGGCTCTGAGATCCATCGCTGTCACTGCCATGGCTGCTGGGTGGAGTTGGAGGCATCTGCACCAGTTCTTCTACTGACAAATAAGGAGATCAAGTCAATGGCTTTCATGTCAGCCTGTTGGTACAGGTATAGGGCCCTACCATAACACAGGACTGAAAGGAGAGGGTGATGAGTCTCACAAGATGGGGTGGGTCTGAGAACAAGGCTGGACTCAGCACTGCCCAAGACAGAGGTGAGACTGACCTCAAATGTGCTAAACTAGGAACTGCAGGAGAGCTGGCAGGGGCTTTGTCAAGACACAGAAGGTACTTACAAAGCAATAAGGTGCTCACTCCAGTGTTAACCAAATGGAGTACAAAGCCCATGATGTTTTGCTTCATGGCCTGTTCACAAGTACAGGAAGCTCTGTGAGAGAAAAGCTCTTCCAAAAGCACTGCAGGGCTCACACACTTGCCAGCACACTTGATCCAAAGGGGGTCCAGTCACTCAGTTGGTTTCCAAGCATTTGAAAACTGTCCCCACTTTGTACTGGAGAGCCCCGGGGGCCTTAATGGAGGTGGGAATATGCCTAAGGAATGTCTCTCTGCAGCAGTGGGAGTTCCTACAGTGCTTGCATTTGTGCATCGGCAGATTTTCAGATGCTTGGGTTTCTTTCAAATTAAATTAGATCCTGAATTTCCTGACTTTCAGATGGTTGTTTTTGGATAACTCTACAGTCTCTCTGAGGATTTTAAAGGCACTCTTGCATATTTCCAACTCTGAAGTAGCCTATTTTGCCTGGGAGTCCCTGTCTGAACAATTCCGTGTGTGGCTGCTGGTTCCAGCACTGATCTGAGTTGGAATAGTTCAGCGCTAACTCCTCTATTACTCTGTGCCCCATCTTGCATGCATGGCTCTGCCCTCAGGTGTTGTCTTTCCTCCTTCTATAATAATGATGTATATCTGAGTAATACAGTTTCTATAGACCAGGAAGCTCTTTCTTCTTACCTGCAGGTACATTTAAAAACTGGTTCACCTCTTTGGGTTCAGCTTTGATCACAGGTGCTGGAGTCATTTCTATGGGAGTCTGTGGAAGAGAAGCAGAAAGAGCTCTTGGGCACTGCCACCTCCCCTGCCCATAAGGTTCTCACCAGTTCTGTTAGTAGCTGCTGCTGCCCTGCTGTCTGTCCTGCCCCATCTCACAGCCCGGCCCCAAAAGCAGTCCCTCACCACAGATAAAGGAAACCAAGAGCTCAAACATAAGCCCCCTGAAGCCTCTGTTGCTGGGCACACAGAGTGCAAATGTTTGCAGAGGAAGAGGCAGTGGTATATGGATGTGCTGCCAAGCAATGCACTGAGCTGAGTACCTCCAAAAGGAAGATGACTTTTTACCTTGGCAATTCTTCCTCTGCTAGACCCAGCCAGTGTAATTCAAACCAACCCATACATTACCATGGTAAGTCCCTCTTTGATCTGCCTTCATTATAAATGGGAGTATAGGGGTTGTACAGAAACAGAACAACTCCCTTGTCCTGCTCACATGATTTTCACCAGGGCCACTGAGCAACTGTTTCCAACTGGTGGGGACTGAGAGTTAAATACAGAGTAGATTTATTCCCATCTGGGCTATGCTGCCCCTTAGCTCCCTGACTTGCCAGCCCCAAGCCCACCATAAGCTGGAGTTTTTACACTAAACAGACACATTGCAAACTCCTCCAGACTGTAAACACAGCTGAGAGAGTACCATGGTATGGCTGCTGAGCACACACAAGTTCAAGCTGTGTAAATAATAGAGGAAGTTTGTGCACAATTTTGGCTGGAAGAACCCATTTGTTTTGGATGGCTGTTTAAATGGGAAAGATGCTCAGAGTGAGTGAAAAAAGGATGTGAACCCCAGAGATGCTCTACTGATTTCTACTGACCAGCAGTAGATAGGCAAGGTCTGTGTGAAACTGGTCAGAGCTATTTGTCTGACATAGCTGGACTTAAGGCCAGCCAAACTGAGCCCTCAAGTTACACTCACAATACCAGTGGCATAAGTGAACCTCCTTCAGACAGACTTCTTAAAATACTAGGTATGACCAAAAGAGTTGGCTCCTTGTTTCATAGAAATAATTATTCCTGCTATTTCATAGGAAAAATCAAGCAGGAGATGGAGTGGGACCTCCATTTCCAGTGAACAGCTAAGAAAAGCCGTATGACAAGTTCAAGGCCACGAAAAAGACAGTGGCAGAGCAGGGGTCTATACTCAGGAATAGTGGGGCCACTGGCATCACATTAATTGACATTGTTCCCTGAAAAACAAAAATAAGCCAAGTGTGGCTATAGCAATACTGGCAGATTGGAGGGACAGATCTCCAGCAGATGCAAGCTTAAAGCCTTGGGCTTTTGCGACAAGGAAACATGCTTATATTCAACTGAGATTGTAAAGCCTCCTGTGCTGGACAAAATCCTCTTTTCACCATTTTCTCTTGAAGGATAAGCTGTCTTCTAGCTTCACTGCAGGAATCAAGACCAGTTTTAGTCAACACCAGGAGTGCTGCTCCTCTGACTGCCTTTTCAAGAGGAGAATGAAAAATAATGCAGTCTCTGGACTTTGTATCACCTTCTCCTGTCTGTCCAGCAGCTAAATCACCTCGCAGGACCCTGGGTTCCATGGCTGGGTCTGCATCACCCGGATTGCTGCTGTGTGAGAGCCGAGGTTCCTGATGGATCTTAGATGGGCTCACCTCCTCGGGGACTGGCAGTCTCTGCAGAGGGTTGATGTTCAGCACTGGTATGGAGCTGGCAGCTAGCTGGGATTCAGGCAGGTCTAGTGCCAGGTTCTGTTCCTGTTTCACCATGATGGAGCAGAGCTTGGGCCCCAGCGACCACACTCCATTCTCCAGCTCTGAAATATGCACAATGTGAGAGTCAAACTCTAGTGAAAACAGAACAAGGAAAAAAAAGCCATGCAGACAGCTTCCCTCCAACTGAGGAGGCTGCCTTTCCAAGTTTAGCACTGTCACCACACAACCATGTGCAGGCCCACCACTGAGAGTACAAAAGGGAATGAGCTTTCAGCCTATGGGGAGCAGACAGCACAGAGCTAGAGGAATTGTGTCTCTGCTGTGCTCTGACTGTGCAGCCCAAGTTCTGGAGGACAGCTGCAGGGCCTCTTCCCCCACTAATGTCTCAGTCTCGTGCTCTGGAGCTCATTCATATTTAGGGCTCAGTGAGAGGAAGATACTGGGCTGTTGCTCCTTACGCAGCATGGCCAGCATCACAGAGCTGCCAGGTGTGTTACCAAGAATAGCACCATCTCTGTGCTAAAGAGCTGGTGAGAGGACAAGAATGGTGGCAGTGAAAGGCTGACACTGCTGCTTTGGCCTCCCAATGATGTTGTGCCAAGTACCAGGGCTTTGTTTCATGACAAGAGAGGAGGAAGGTCCATCTCTGTGGAAGGAAGCCCAGTGTGGCACCTGCTTGTGAGGCTGCTTCCACAGCTGCTCCTTTCAGTCTCACCTCTGAGACTCCCTCCTCCACCCTACACTGCTCAGGGGGACTGTTGTCCACAGCCATGTCCTGTTGCCATTACTGGCAGGGACAAGAAGCAGCAGTGAGGGGAAAGGAAGTGTCTGAAGAGAACTAACTGAAACTGTGGGCACACTCTCCTTGCCCCCTGCCTGCTCCATCCCGTGCATATTTATGATGTGAGTCTGGCTTGAAACAGGAAATAGAGATCCCGGGAACTGTGATTCAGGCAGTGGTGGTCAAACTGCAGCTGAGATGGGAAAAAAAGCCTGCTAGGCAAGAGAGCCGCCTGGGCTCTGCTCTGAAGTTTTGGTCCTTGCTCTTCAAACACTTCAGCCTGCCAAAAAGCTACTCCTAGCTGGCCTGCAGCCTGCAGCCTCTTTTTTTAATCCTTATCCCTTCCCTTTTTTTATCTGACAACCAGAAACACATTTGGCTTGACACAGGACAGACTACTGCTAAGTGTGTCACCAGATAGTGCCCCAGTTGCCTCCACATGAGGCCACAGTCCAAGTCACTCTTTGAACCCTCTGCACTCCTCTCTGCATGCAGTACTCTCAGACCCAGGGATGTTGCCTAGCTGTCTGCTGCTCAGATCAGCTCTGTAGTGCAGGCCTTAATCAAGAAGATGTCCTGGAAAGAGGAGAGGAGGAGAAAGGTCCTTCTCAGCTCCAGAAAAGCCTGCACAAAGAAGAGTACAAGCAAGCAGCTTTTCACGTGGGAGCTGCCCCCTGATCTAAACTTAAAGGTACCTTAACATCATCTTTGCCCAACTCAGCCTCTGTGCCTTCAGGAGAGGCCAGGGCAGAATTCTGCCTCTGGCTTTTGCTTGGACAGAGAGGTGTTAGAGCTTGAACAATAATTATATCAGTTAACACAGTGTTGGGCTTGCCATTTGAATATGTTCTCTTCCTGTCTTTGGTCTAGCACCTCTTATTTGCAGCCTAGACATGTCTACCTAGCAGATGCTCATTCCTTCCAGCTGCCTGTGTGACTGGACATCTTCAAGAACTGACATAGCTCCTGTGGCTGCTCCATGTGTGTATCAGCTGTGTGTGCTGCTCTCAGTGCTGCTGGATTGCTTCCTAGAGCTTCCCATAATGCAGAAGGGCCAATGTCATCAGGCAGTCTCAGGCACGGGTGCAATGCACAGCTGTGACAACAGAGAGACTGCTGAGCAGACACAGAGTGGATTGTGTTTTCTCTGTCCTGCTAAGGACACCAAACCTGTAGCTGGTAGTGAAGTCCCAGTTACCCCTGCTATGCAGACAAACCCTTTCTGATAGAAGGAGGCAAGGTGTTAACACAGTCACAAGCGTTTGCATCCAGAAAACTTGGAGTGAGTTCTGCCTGATCACAGCCTATCACAGGGATGAGGGACCTTGAGTCATCATCTTCCACTCTATCCCACTGCCCTAGGCAAGTTCAACTAAACCTGTGTCAGTCCTGACAGATGATTGTCTGACTTGATCTCACCCCTCTGAAAAGTGATAAAGAGTCCACAGCTTCCCCTACTGAATGTTTTCTACGGTTGCACTATGCTTACAATGGGAACGTTTTGCCTACTGGCTAATCTCAAGTTTCTCACTCTGATTTGAAGCCTCATCTTCCTTATCCTCCCTTTCTGTTGCAAAGCTCTGCAGTTCTCTTTTTCTCAGAGGCATGGGACGTCCTCTGTGAGAGATGCTGCTGAAGCAAGTTACCAGACAAGGGAGAGCAGACCACCAAGGACTTTCCCTCATCAGACTTGACTCAATGAGAAAGAAGCCCTGAGTGCTGTCCGTCCAGACAGGCCAAGGAGCAGACACCCAAATAAGTATGCACCGTCCTCCCATTTCCGGTCTACCTTCTGACTCTGCTCTCTTTCCCACCCTTGGAGATTTATCTGGGGAGTGATTAGGTTACAGAATCAGAAACATATCAGAGGGTCAATGAGGGACTGGGGAGGAGGCATTTTCTGTGGACACGTCTACTTTCTTCTGCCTGAGAGGATGTTTCAGAGGTATGGCCGGTGTGTAACTCCTGCAGATTTCACTATATGTTGGTGAATGAGGCATGCCAGGAAGCTCATCGTCTGCTCTAGATACTCTGTCCATATTGGGAAGAAGTACAGCTGAGAAATATCTGTAGCTGCCCTGGGTTGAGGAGGTGAGGCAGAGCACTGAGGAAACAGGACCTGAACATGAGGGCAGGCACTAGCCTGAGGCTGGTCCAGTTCTGTTCTACACAATCCTGTTTTCCCCTGCTCCTGGCATCAAATCACACCCTGCAAAACTGAGAGCTGGTACTGAGAACTGGAGCAGGCAGTCCATATGCATAAACCATCTGGGAAGCAGACTCCACTGCTAAGCAGGGTTACAATGCACCCAGTGCCTCGCCCTATCTGACCCGTGTTAGTTGGAGCCATGCGGGAAGGGGCAGGATTTGGAAGAGTTTTGGAGATCGGCAGAAAAGCTGGGAGAAAACTCATAAATAGCAAGCCTCAACCAGCTCCAAGCCTAGACACAACATTCCTGAGGAGCAGACCAAGCAGAGCTTGCTTAATGTTAAAGAAAAGCCATTCGTGGGTAATTAATTTGAACTGAATGTCCAAAAGGACTGAGACTGGATGGAGCTGTGCCAAAAGTTGCAAATACTGGACCTGACTCAGGGCTTCACTAGAATATGACTCACATCCAATTATGAGCCAAGAAAGCCCTGGAAAGATGAGTTGAATTATCTTGCTGCAGGACGAGCTTGCTTAATGTTAAAGAAAAGCCATTCGTGGGTAATTAATTTGAACTGAATGTCCAAAAGGACTGAGACTGGATGGAGCTGTGCCAAAAGTTGCAAATACTGGACCTGACTCAGGGCTTCACTAGAATATGACTCACATCCAATTATGAGCCAAGAAAGCCCTGGAAAGATGAGTTGAATTATCTTGCTGCAGGACTGGATGCATAGATACTCTTGTACCTGTCATATTAATACTAAGCCTTACTCCCTGTATAGAACTGATCTGAACTCTCAGAGAGCAAATGCCAAGGTCCATCTCAAGCTCTCTTGGGTTATGCACTCTACACCCTATGCTGGCCTCTGCCCAAGGATCAGTGTTACACTCCACTCAGGAAATTCATGATCTTGCCTTGGAGACACAGCAGCTGGAGGGGCATGTCCAGTCACAGAGGCAAGGAGCAGAAGTGGTGATAAGTGTCTCAGAGAAGAGTCTCTGAGGTAGCTTCATGTGGCCAGTCTTCATTTCACTGCTTTCTACAAATTCATCCTTCTGCTTCTCTCATTCCCAAGTCTTATCTCCTATTCATTTTCAGAGGCAAAGTAAAGATGTATTTATTTGTTCATGCTGGTTTGGTTATTTTTGTTAGTCACCCCTGCCAAGGCTGTACTGGGGTTAAAGCTAAGGAAAAAAAAAGTAAATGTAATGCTTTTTCAGTACTAAGGCAGAGCTGCTTGGCCTGCCATAAGCCTCTCTCCCAGGACCTCTCTGTGTTGCCCCTAAGGAATGTGGCATATGGTTGTGCCCTTTGCAGGGGCCAAAGAGGCAGCAGAGGCCAGCCTCCTCTCCTCCTGCCTTGGCACTTGTACCAGGGAGCTGGGATAATTCCTGGCCATGAGAGGGAAGCCTCTGTCCCAGTCTCACCCTTGCTCAAAAGAATGGCTTTCTTCTGTGTATACTGAGCCTGTGCCACTGCTTTTTCAGGCAGCCTGGTGTCCATCAGCTGTTGGGACACCCACACAGTCCCACAAATTACAGGACTCTCTGCAAGGATGGCTCTAAAAATATCCCGCCATCATAAATTATCCTGAAATGAATTGTTTTAAAAATAAGTTTTGAAATGACTGTTCCTCTCTGTCTTCTGCTAAAAGATCTGCTGGTAAAGAAGCCACTTAGCTTTCCACACGTACCAGCACTGGTTGCAGCCAGAGACTCATGCTTCCTATATGCAAGCCAAAATCCTGCTGCCAGATGCCAAAACAGAGCTAGATCTAGGGCATCCACACCCAAATTTGCAGGGTCCTAAAAAGACGTTGCCTCTTGCTTGCCAGAAGCTGGCAGCGCACCGAACCACAACCAATTATCTTCCTCCTAAATAACAGTAAGCCCAGCAAAGGAGCAGTGTGACTGTCAAAGCGCAAACGGAAGGAAAAAATGTGGGCTGTATTTGACAACACCAGATCAAATTCTTCCCTGGACTAGCCACGCGCAAGCCCAAGGAATAGCCAGTTTGTCCTTATTTATGGAAGCCAGCCAGAGCTCTGCTAACAGATGTGTCCAAAGCTGTGCAGTGTGCATGTCTCATGCTCACCGTTAGCATTATCTTCAGTCTTGACAGGCACGAGGGGGCTCTGGGGAGCAGAGTCTCCACTGAGGGAATAGCTGTGCTCTGCCTGGATGCCTGGAGTGGGTGGATCCAGGTCCATGTCCAGCAGTGGGTTCTTCTCAGCCAGTACTGGGTCATCGAAGAAACTGCTGAAGAGGTCGTTTGAGAAATCCTCCATGTTGTCAGAGAAGTGATCCAGGTTCTCTGAGAAATGCTGAGAAAGACAAAGGGAGAGAGCACATTAGTGTCAACTCCAAGAGGGTTCTGAGAGCCTTCCTTTGCACTGAGAGCTAAACCTCAGCAACAGCTCTTTTTGGATGGGAAAAAGCAGCTCCTATCCCTTGCCCGCACCAGTGTGACAAAACCACCTTGAATTAAGATGAAGGGAATGTGGTGCTGTGCATCTCTGTTTATCTATGCCACAAACACTCATGAAACTTTTCTATGTTCTCTCATATTCCACTTCCTCTGTGAGTACCTATCTTCATCTTCCTAGCACCATCTCACTATGACAACAAACTGAATAAAGCACAAGGCAAGAAATCCCTGTGATGACAAAAATGCAAGTGTGGCAGAAAATCATGGTCTTCAGCACCTGTCCTTGGTGACAGACAATTTCTCATGTTCTCTGCCAGCGGCAATAGGCACACTGATGCCCCAGAGAACATCAACCCAGCTGCTGATTTCTATCAGAGGAAAAAAAAGATCACTTGGATCAACATAACAGGAAGGCCCCCTGTTGTATTTAATTTCCTCTGGGATTTAACAGCCCCTCTGTGGACCATATGAGGCTGTACTCCAGCCAGATAATGCCTGTGTAATTCAGCTCCCCAATGAAGTTTAAACACTACAGATGGGCTGTTAACAACAAGCATTCCACTAATCATTCCAGCAACAGTCAGTAAATCTGGCCAGTGCTGCTGCAGAGCTGGACTCCTGATGCTACAGGGAACCCACTTCCTTTGAGGTATATCCTCCTATTAAAAAGTCAAATCACTACCTTTTCCATTTGCTACAACATTGGTTGGGCAAGGAGAAAAATGATGGTTGCCAAACACCAGCTGAAAAATTATCCCATTTGTTGGCAGATTGAGGCTTCTGGCTCAGGGAGAGGAATGAAAAGATAGATTCAAGTGACTATATCACACGGATAGAACTGGAGAGAGCTCAGCAGTGTCAGACTGGGTCTGTCCCCCCACCTACTGCCTGCAAAAGCATCTGGGTGGGCATTGAAAGCAGTATATTGAAATATCAAGTGCAACAGGGCATGGACGAGAGTGGAAGAGAGCATGCCAGTCCTAGAGTGGAGACAGGATTGCAAGGAATTCCAGTGCAAGACCTGAGATCAGGAAAGAGTCTGGCTGCTAGAAAAGCATGGGGTGCCCGCAGCCCTTTCCCCAGTGCTAGGACTGAGAGAAGAGTTGGCCAGAGGACCCTGGATGCTGGAGCCTGTAGGTTCCTGCTCCTACAGGAAGGTATATTTGCTTTACCTGAGCACACTACTATTCTGTCAAAATTCCTCTGGCTGTCAGAGGGCTGGGGTGAGGCTGGGGTGTGAATCAGGCTCTAGCAGAACAGACCCACACTTTCCACCAAGCAGGGGAGGGAGATGGTGAACTGCAGGAATCTCCAACATATCAGTGCCTTTCACCCTCCAACATCATCCCTCAGCCGTTCAGTTTAAAAGCTCAGATGCTCACAGAGCATGCTGGAAGTGGGGATGGAGTCCCTGCTGCCTGCATACTGCCTGAGACAAGGTTTCTCTCCCTCTGCTTCCTTCCCACTTGCCTTGCCCTCTAACTGCCTGGAATGACAGCACAACACACCACCATCCAAGTCTTCCCTGGAGAGCAGACACTGCATGTGCAAGTAAGGTGGAAAAGGCACATTTATGCTAAATCCCAGTGTTGAGGCCCTCCCTGGGATGCTGGGGCTGATGTTTTCTCCACTTGTTCCCACAGTGGAAGCAGAGCTGGCAGGGTAGCTTGGTGCAATTTACCCAGCCATTTCCAAGATGTCTAGAAGCATTTCTGCACTTGAATCAAGCAACAAAAAACATCTCTGTGGAGCATAACTTCTTCAGAGGGACCTGAGTCAGCAGATGGAATTGAGTTAGTTATCTAAAAGGCACTGTAATACCAGGTTTTGTCCTATCCTACAACACAGAGGGATAAAGTGTTTGGAGTCCTGAGCATTAACACCAGAGAGTGCCTACTCATGTAACAGCTGTTCTTTGCCTTGTGTTCTCTAAAGAACACAAGCAAACACAGGATATGAACATGCTAGCCTTATGGTAAGGGCAAGAACATAACCACAGAAAAGTGAAGGGCTTCAGAGTTCTGACTGTCAATGCACCATGGCACAGCAGAGCCAGGATCCAACAAGAAGCACACAAATCATATATACTATTGTGACCACCAAAATTAGAACCACCATGTAGCCCTGTAAGAGAAGCAGAGGTGGATGGACACTGTGGGGAGAGCTATCAGCAACTCTGCCATGTGCTTTAGATTTCTTTCACAACTGTGCATTAACAGAAGCAGAGGAGGGAGTGAAGAGAGACAAGAAAATGCATTTATGCAGTAGTTCCATGGGTTATCTTTTAGCAGCATCCCACCCACACTTAGAACAAGGATCACTTGGTCAGTTAACAGTCTTTCCATTGTAGGAAAAACTACCTGAAGGGAAGAGGCAGAGATGTGCTTCTGGCTTTATTCTGAAACCAAAAAAAAATCACCCCAGCAGCTGCTGAGGGGGGAGAATTGAGTAACAAGTGTGAAGGACTGAGTATCAGAGCCTTGATGCAGGCACCAAAATTACTAGGAGCAATGTGGGAGTAGACCCTGACTCACTGCACGAGTGCCATGATGTGCTTGCTTTGGTCAGCAAGAAACCATGGGAGCAGTAAGTGCAAAGAGCACCTGGAAAGAGGATGCAGAGAAGAAATTTGATGACTGTTGCTGAGGACTGTAGTTATTACGCAAACAAGGAGATAAGAAAGAAGAATTATGGGCAGACATATGCGTGAGGATGTGTGATGTAAAAGTACCAGGGAGCTGTATAAAAGCTAGCTGGGAGAGCAAATAAAGGTCTTTGTGCGTGAACAGCGATGGTGTCTGTGCTTCATTGCCAGAGTAATTGCAGGTTTCTGGTTCTTTTAGACACCACATGGCAGGGTTGCTGGATGAAGGCAACACTGTTCTCCGAGAGACGCAGGAGTTCAGGTCCCCAAGAGACCATTCTCTTCCAAGAGACAGCGACCTACTGCACAGTACAGGAAAAACATGGGTGATATACAGAGAATGAGACTTTCATCTTCCCTGGGAAACCAGAAATGTTGAGGCACCTAGCCCTCTCTGGGCTCCTGGGTCTTATCCTCCAGCACAACTAAATACTGGCAAAGCCTCTCATCAAAGCAAGCCCATTTCAGCTCTCACCACCCACACATATACCAGTCCAACATCTCCAAACACAGATGGTGAAAAGGGAGCCAGCCTATGAGGTTGGAAATAACAATGGTTATTATCAAAGGGGGCACCAAGGCTGACATTCTCAAGGAGGGAGAGCACCTAAAGTTGTCACAGAGCTAGAGATTGCTGTTTTACTCGAAGGTGGCAGGAAGCAGAGGAAAGCAGATGAAGGAAGTGTAAAGCAAACAAATATAATGACATGGCTTTGTAGCTGGCTATATCCACAATGGAAACTACAGGACCAGCAAGAAGCTAAGTCACCACATCCTAGGAAGACTGCTGGGTCTCTTGGGTTGGTTCTGTTCTCTCCTGAAACCAACAGGTACTGTTAATTTTAGATTTACAATTAGTAAAGACAGCTGTGCATGCAACCACATGGAAAGAGGAAAAAGCATCCTCTTATACAAATCCAACTGTGGTGGGCACAGGGAGGAGCAGACCAGAGTTTATTTTGTATAAATGCCATCCAAACCACTGCTACTTAGTTTAGATGAAGACTGCTAACCCAGAATATGCAAACTCTGTCCCACCCAGCCTCATTTTGGGGCCTCCACTTATCTGGCAAAACTCAGAGAAGCCTTCAGCCATACTCTTCCTTTGCACGTGCGAGAAAGAAGGCTTCAGGGAACTGCATGTCCCAGGGTATGGTGTCTTAGGGCTGTGTAGATCATGGCAGACCATGGCAGGGTCAGTGCTCTGAGTTTCTGAGCAGCAAACAGAAGCAGGTTTATCACTTGACCAAATGGATGGTAGCTGTATCCTAGCTGGAAAATCACATACCAAAGGTGCTGAGTGGCCACTAGCCCTCTCTTCCCACCCAGACTGGGCCCAGCACAGCTAAAGGTGTTCTTGTGCTGCCACAAAATGACACAACTGTGCTAGGCTTTGCAGAGACTTTTGCAATGGCAATGAAGAAAGACCTCAGCAGACCAAAGGCATGAGTTAGTGAAAGGTCCAAGAAAGAGCCCATAGAACTTGGATATGAATGAAGGTGGGATGGACAGAGATACATGAGCAGAGCAGGCTCATCCTCTCACACACAGTCTCTTCAAGACCTAAACTCCTTGACAGCACCTTTCAGCCAGGCTGAGATGGGCCAGCTCCTGCTCCTCAGAGGATTGGCTAAGAGTTCCTAATTGTGACCATGAAGGACTCTGCAATTCTGTTGAGATTCTCCTTTAAGATATCCTAAGTAGTTTCCACACAGATGGGCCTGGCTTTATCAAGGGGGACCAGTCAGCTGGGAAACTTGACCCTTACCACCCTAGCCCAGAGGGAGCGGGTGTGCAGTGTACTGGGGGAAAACAGCTTCCAGATGGGATATGAAGCTCACAGCACAGTCTCATTTTGCATTATTCGTTCCTGTTATCTCTCCCTTTCACACCCTCCTTCCTTCTCCCTCTAACTGTGTTCCAAAGCCAAGAAATAGCACGAGATGTGTTTCCAAAGCTGTATTACCAGTGAGTGGTCAGGGAGGGGGCAGCCAAAGGACAGAAATGCAATGGTGAGGATGTGCTGAATTTCCTGATCCAAGCCTGATTTCTGTCCGCAGGCCCCCCCCCCCCCCCCCCCCCCCCCCAGCCACTCTGACACAGCATCCAAAGAGGATGAGCCAGTGTGGACAGGTATGGGAAGACAATGATCATTGCATCTCTAGGCCCAAAAGAGAGCGTTAAGCTGCTCTGGTACCACACAACAATCTGCTCAG